CCATATGCTTCCGCTGTTTGCTCGATCATGTATGCTATGACTTGTACTCGCCCTGATGTGGCCTTTGCTTTGAGCATGGTCAGCAGATATTAGGGAAACCCTGGCAAGGCTCATTGGATTGTGGTAAAGAATATTCTCAAGTACCTACAAATGACTAAGGACTGGGTTCTTACTCTCGGTAGGAGTATGACTTGAGAGTAGTAGGGTATAGCGATGCTAGTTTTTAGACTGATAGGGATAATTTCCGCTCTCAGTCAGGCTGGGTCTTTACCCTGAATGGAGGAGCAATTACTTGGAAAAGTTCCAAGCAGGAGACAGTAGCTGATTCTACTTGTGAATCAGAGTACATAGCAACAAGTGAAGCGGCAAAGGAGGCGATATGGCTGAAGAACTTCATTGGAGACCTTGGAGTTGTACCAGCTATACAGGAGCCTATGCAGATTTTTTGTGACAGCAATAGTGCAGTTGCCTTAGCCAAGGAACCAAGAGATCATGGTAGATCTAGACACATTGACAGAAAATATCACTTCATAAGACACAAGATATAAGAAGGACTCCTCGTGGCAAAGAGGGTATCCCTCAGAAGAGAACCCTGCAGATCCCCTCACGAAGGGACTGACTAGGGTTAGGCATTTGCAGCATGCGAGGAGCATCGGGCCGAGAGACGATATTAGTTTTAATAATTAGATAGCTATTTCTGAAACTTGTAAATGTAATTGACATTTGATGATTAAATAAAAATTGTTGTTTATTTATAAGTGAGGTGTTACTATCTTATGTTAATCATTTACTATTGTTTCAATTTTGCATGTTTTGACTTCCAGAATAATTATTTTATTCAAAACACTCCACAGTCGGTCATACGTTGGAAGTAGGTATTGAATTAAGACTGTCATGAATTTGGATTGTAAGATTTTGTCTAAGGTGCATTAGACATTGCAATAGTTGCTGCAACATTCATGAGTGCTCATAAGGTCTGAGTATTGAATTAAACCCACGCTCACTTGTATCACTTCATGGAATTTATCTCGAGTGATCGTGAGACGGTAATATCATATATATCTTCAAACCTAGAGATGTGAGTTGTTGACTATGAGTTGGTTATCCATTGATTGTACGAAAACGCATCAGTAACTTGATGTCATAAAACATGCTTTTGTGCATAACTCAAACAAGTAGTTAGTACAAGCATATGAGTCGAAGTTTATCTATTCCTTCTAGCAATAGAAGCGATATATGGACCCTTCGATGATTTGGTTTTGACTTATGTGTCGGGCCCGGTCAGAACCTAATTGATGTGTTCAATTTAGTTCTATGTCAAACATATCAGAGATCGAGAAACAACTGCTGGACAATAAGTACGACATTGTTCATTGTATTTGTCCAGCTGATATCTTGAGAACAGAGGATTATATGATCACTTATCTAAAATGGCGTTTCATAGTTCAATAGAGTTTTAAAGAGCTACGATTGCTGGTTGGTTCTTGAAGTTATACTTGCAACTATAGTTATCAGACTTATCCAAGTGGGAGACTGTTGGATAAGGTGTCTAAGTCCGTAACTATATTTGGTTTGAACTTGACCCGACCCGGCATGGTCCATTTGGGTTGCACTTCACCTAACAATTTGTATGGATATACCTTTTGAGAATAAGATGTTTATGATCTATTAATATATTATAAGTTATAATATATTAATATGAAATCATATTATTTAATTAGTGTTGATCAAGAATTGATTTTGGAATTAATTTATTGATCAAAAGAGGCTAATTAAATATGGACTCTTACATATATATATATATGGATTGGGCTAAGATTTATTTAGGATGGGCTAAGAGTATATGGAAGTCCATGGATAGTCCATGGATCCTAGGTAAATGAAGAGTCATGGGTATTAGGGTTTAACCCTAATCCTCCATACTATATAAAGAGGTCCTTGGTTCTAGAATTGGCACTAGTGTATGTGAGAAACAAGAGTGGGCCGATTTTAGTGAGCATCATATTCTCTCAAGTATTTCCAAATTGTTTTAGGTGATTTGTGACACCACTTGAGGCATCCATACTATTGGTGCTAGGCTCAAAAACTCCAAGCAATCAACTACAAAAGAAAGGTATGTTATTCTACTTAAAGTTTTATATTACAAGTACCCCATAACATGCTAGTTAGGTTGTAAACCTTGGAAAACAAATTTGCATGTATTTTAGAGAAAACACAGATCCAAGGTTTCTAGGGTTGCATGTACACCATAGGAGTGTTAGAATGCTCAAAACCCAACAGCAACAAGGAACACCACCCATTTACTCCTTATCACAGTGGCCTGTAGTGGTCTGCGGTGGTGGCCATGGCTGACAGTCATGGCGGCCATGGTGGTGATGAAGAATTTCGAACCAAAAGGAGAATAAAAGAATATGAAAGATAAGGCTAACTTGGAGTGAACGAGTACCACCAGCCACACCTAGCACAACCAAGTAGAAAACACAGCTACTGCCCTCCGATAGCCTCCAATCCCGATCGATCCTTCCTCTATTTCCCCTTTTTTGTTTTGCGTCGCAACACCACATAACACACACCTACACAAACGTCAATATAAGGATCATCCCTTCTCATGAACTAAACAATTAGGCTAGATTCACAAATGAAGAACCGGTCATAAGACTTGTCCAATGACCTAATGGGCTCCAATTTTCGATTTTATAATAATAGCCCTCAAGTTTGTCATAATGGCATAAATAGCCCCTCAAAACAACTTTTCTTGATGCACAAGGCTTTTAAGTTGACAAAATCAGCCCTTATCTGAAAAATAATTACAAAACCTTTTACCACTACCCTCTTTTAATAATTTTAGGTTAGGTTATTCGTTTGCCTTTCATTATAAAAATAAAATAGAATAAAACGTGGTGTTACATAATAACAACAATTTATTCAATTGCTAATTATTACATGGTATATTCACATATTAAGATATAATCACATGTGAGTATTATATGATATATGTTGTTTATATTGTATATTTACATGTGATATTACTTGGTATATTCATATATGATTCTACATGGTATATTCACATGTGAATATTACATGGTAGATCGCAAGTGAATATTATATTGTATATTCACATATGAATATTACATGATATATTCATATGTGAATCTCATATGGTATATTCACTTGTGAATATTACACAATATAATCACATTTGAATGTTAGATGGTATATTCATTTATGAATATTATCCAGTAGATTTAATATTATATAGTATATTCACTTGTGAATATTACACACTATAATCACATTCGAATATTATATGGTATATTCATTTATGAATATTACATAGTATAATATGTAATATTCACTTGTGAATATTACACATTATATTCACATTTGAATGTTAGATGATATATTCACTTGTGAATATTTGTCACGGAGCTTTTGGTAGCGTTTAGGAGTTTCTAACTTTTAGCTTTTGACAAAACGCTCCAGTTTAAACAAAAAATTTTGTTTGGTAGTACGGGCGTGTAGCTTTTAGTTTAAACAAAATGCTCCGAATCTAAAAGCTACTTCATGTGGAATTTAGCAAAACGCTACCAAGCTTTTGAAATCAATTTCCATAATTATCCTTAAAAATATATTTATATATTTATTTATTTTTAAACAGTTGTCCTTTTATGTAAAACTTCCAGGTACTTTTACCCAACACTCATATAACAAATAAAAGCTACAACTTTCACCTACCAGCTACCTGCTACGTGCTACATTTTATCAGCTACCAACTACTTGCTACCTACTTCCAGCTAACATCTACTTTTGCCAAACAATATTTTCACTTGTGAATAGTACACAATATATTCACATGTGAATATTACAAAGTATATTGTTCATGTGAATATTGTAAAGTGTATTTACAAATAAATATAATTTATATATGTTATTCACAAATGAATAACATACAAACATGCATATTTGTTTTGTGTTTCATTAATCATATATTTATTCAGGTATGAAGATATATTCATATGTGAATATTATATGGTAATTTAGTTTATGCATTTCATCAAACAGTTGGAATGTATACAAGTTAGCTTATATAATTGTGGTAAAAAAAAAACTTGACAGTTTGACTATTTAAACCTTACAAATTAATAGATCAATGTAGAATTCTATCAAATTTTACTTGATGATTGATGTTGAACAACTGATATGAAGTGGATATGTTGATGATTATCGATGACGAATATCTAATGACATTGGAGTGTAATTAATTGAAGATGTTGAAGATATAATAATATTAAAATAGAGTTGAAGGTTCGATTGTAATCACCAAAATCGAATTTATCGAATTTATGTTGTTGACTATTGAATGATGTTTATGAAAGTGTCATTGATGAATGTTGATAATTGATTAACATTGGATGCTGTTTGATTGAGGGTTGATTAGAAAAAATCTAGATGATTGGTGAAAGTTGAAAGAAATCTGATGACGAACGATCATTTAGGAATGATTTTTACTGTAATCTAATTTAAATTAACAATTACTTATTTGTCCTTTTGTTTTAATTATAGCTTTATTTTTCACTTTTATTAAAGAGTAAAGTCCAAGTCAACCCAACTTGATTCGTTACCAGCCGAACCCCAACCATTGGGCTTTATTGTTTTACAAGCAAGTCCCAGTTTTTATGAATTTATCGTTATTCCCTTCCACCTAGACCTGACAATTTCAGACACGAAGACACGAATCTGTGAGAGACACGACACGACACGAATACATCTTAAAAATTGAGATAAAGCTTATTTCTCATCGTGTAATCGTATCGTGTCAAATTCGTAGCTAACACGTTTTCATGACACGAATACACGAATTGCCAGGTCTTCCACCTGCCTAATGTTACATTCTTTTCCCCATCCACTATCCACATAATACTTTTAACAATTAGTTCGACACTTCCAGTTTTGGACATTAGAATCTTCTTATAAGAGCAATAACATCCTTTTTTATAAGTCTTCTTTTGTAAGAGGCCCAAAAAACATAAATTTCATACAAAATCAAGTCACCATTTGTTTTGTGAAAGTGTTATAATGAATCCTTCTGATCGACATTTTACAGCCTAAATCAGTCAAATCGAAATTACACATTTCTAGTTACTTGTGCCACTTATGCACGCATCCCCACCATGATCACAAATTCACAAATCGCATTCGTTTCATTAACAAGTTGACTGAAAAACAAAGCAAAAAGAATGAACAAACAACATAGCAGCTAAACGCTTCTTCGACTACAAAAGCAGAAAAAAAGTTTTTTTTTTTCAGGTCATGTTGGATCAAGCTTTTACACAGCAATTGAAGTAGCTCAAAATGCTTCTCCTCACCTAAACCCACAAATACAATTCATTAATTCAAAACTTGTCAATCAAATAATATTTCAACACCAAATTACTAAAAGGGTTAATTTCATAAACACAGGTAACAATTTTTTTTCACAAAACACCATTCTTTAAAAAAAATAAATACTACTAAAAAGTTAATTAACAGAACTTTTGCTCACAAAATACCCGTATTTAATGGTGTTTTGTGATGAACGCAAATAAGTTTGTTACTCATTTATAGTTTTCTATTTAAAATAATACAAATAACTTTAAACCAATTATAAGACTAACCATAACTAAAATGTAGACAATTCACTTTGACTAATTTCGGAAAAACAAAAACAACATCATATTATATTGTCACTCACGATTTATTTATTTACTTATTTATAGATAAAAAAAAGCAATTGATGTGATTGTTTGATTGATTATTTCCTCCTTTATCTTATTCATCGTAAATATTTTCATTTTAGTTGTTTAAAACATCTGACGTATACGTTTTTTTTCTAAGATCCAGCATCAGTTTACAATGATCCATTAGTAAATAATTCTGTAACATAATAAAAATTCTAATAATTTGTTTTGGTAAGAAGATATTTTAGATATTTGCTTAAAAGAAATCATACATACTTAATTGAACTGTATACCATATCAAAGCATCACAATTTTGTGCTTTTAGAAAATACGATCAAATTTTAAAATTAAAAACGCACACTATTCCATTAGGTTTCACAGCTCAATTTAAAAAAAAATCAATACGTTACTTCTTCTTTTGCACTAATACTGAAAAGGCAATAGAAAAATAAATGGTTGATTTGATCATTGGGGAGAGAAAAATCTTTTCATCAATGATTAGGGTTAGTCAGGGAATAAAAAGTATGCACTTGCATATTTGCATTAAAAAAAAATAAAAAAACATTCCATGCCAACTATGTATTATAATTATAATGTGAGAACATGGTTGCACATGCCCTCAGCATATTCCTTGTTACCTAGGGTACTAAGTCACACCCATAAGCTTTTAATACATAGAAAAAAAAAAAAAAAAAAAAAAAAAAAAACAAAACATTTTCCTCTTTGTGACCTACCCAAGACAAGAATATAATCTCTCTGTCTATGGAAAAAGACATAAATACCCTTTTTACAAATTTATGCAATAATTTCATTCTTTTACCAATTTATACAACAAACACAAATTATGCAACCGGTATTTTGTATAAAATAACTATTTTGTTGCATACCAAACCAAGTTTATATTTGTAGCATTTAATTGAATAGTTACTAAAATTTTCGAAAATAAGAACTCAACTCATTTAAAATGGATTATTATGATATTGGAGAACAAATAATGAAATGCTTACAGTTGGAGAGTGGTGATCCTCATCATAACTATGGTGGGGAGCACTGTTATTTGCTGTATTAAGTTTTGCAGTGTTGGAGGAAACAAATTCTTCTTCATTACCAATACTAGCCCTTGATATATCTCTCTTATTTTGTTTCCTCATCTCTCTTATCTTTGAGAAATCCATTGAGTAGTCTGGGAGAGGTCCCTTTTGGTCCCAATCCCCAAATTGTGGGACCGACATCCATGGTGCATTTTTCTACACCATTTAAACAATATTTTTTATGTGTTGGATGCAAGAAATAGCATCCTACTTTCATTGCTGTGTTTATTATGAAGATGTGAAGGGCATTTATGTCTTTTTCACAGACAAGAGATGGAAAGTGACCCATGTCCCACCTTTTTAGGCGGGACAAAAATTGACAGGTGGGACTCCCAATCTTCTGGTCCTAAGTAGCAAATGGAGCCTATATGACTTATTGAGATAAGATGAGAAAATGCAACAATTAATGGAGTATGATATTGAGATAATATGATAAACAATGGCTTAACTTGTAGAAAATGTTTAATTTTTTTTTTTTTTTTGCATTAAACATTAACGGAGAATGAGAAAGAATGAAGGGGGGCACGAAAACGTTGTAGGGGTAAGCTCATAAAGATCAATAGAGAATCATTATGTTGCACAAAAAAAATTAACTTGAAACTTTGTCAAAAATATTAATGACTGCAATTTTAATGGACAAATGGAGTTATCTTTTTCCAAATTATGAATCTTTTAAAGAGTGTCATATATAAAAAAACTAAAAAAGTTAGCAAAATTTGCATCTTATGTTGTGGAAATTGTATATTGTACTGTTGAGAAAACAGTTGTGATCGAAATAAAATTTTGTTAGTGGGTGTCATGATCATATCTTTCCTTAAGTCAAAGATGAATATCATTATCATTTGATTATTCAAATCCGAATCTATAGTTCCTAAACAGTCTAAAGTTGCCACCCCCAATTATGGATAACGAAACGCGAATCATAACAAGCGTGGGAGCCAGTATGCTCAAAACAGCCCTCATCCCTGCCCTACTAACGCCTAAAATTTTTGACCTAATTATCGTTTTACGATGGAATTTTACCAGTCATATCAAATGCAAACGCCTCAAAACCTAAATTTCACATCCTTACTCTTGAACAGAGATAGGAGCTACTTGTTCAGCTAAACAAACGAAATTGAAAGATCAAACCCTATCGATGTTCAAACAACATCATTTTCTCAACTTTCTACCAACAAAACAAAGAAGAATTACAGAAAAATTAACTTAAATTGAGTTATCTACCGCTATATTCTCATATAGAAATAATAAGAAGCCAGGGAGAACGTGAACAGTGATAGAGAAAGAGATAAACATACCTCGCCCTTGCGATTTTCCATGTCAATCAGATCTTATTAAACGTACACCAAACAGAACGATCTGAACTCACTTGTTGATTATGCTAAAAACTACAAGAAAACAATCCACAAGGTGTCTCAAGCACAAACACACAAATTCAGCAAATAATAAAGATTGGTAGATATCATTGTGTTCTGTGTGAGAGAGAAAGGAGAAGATGGAGAGAGAGAAAGATGAACTTACAGCAAGACGACAGCTTCAATAAAGCGAAATGAACAGAGTTGTGTGTGTAGCTTTACAACAATCAATTCAGAATACCTTCGTTAGTCAGTTTATCGTTGTGGTATTTATAGTTGATTCATTGAGACATTGGACACGTTAGAGATGTTTAATTACGATGGTTGCCATTGGTGCCTCACGCGCTTCGAACACTGAGCCAATCGAGGTTTCACTGGCTTCCCGTGATCTGCTTTCCTGGGTCTCCGATGCCCACTTTCTCGAACCACGTTTCCATGCTGCACCCTTCTTAAAATGTGCAAGTCAATGATGGTGTGTACTCTTAAAATATGTTTGGAAGATCTTCCATTAGATAACTATTACTACATTTTATTGCTATAGTGGTTTTTTAAAAGTTTTGTAAAGAGGTATGAGTAGATTCTATTTTTTTTTTAAGTTTTGTAAAGATAAGCTAACTGAATGAGTTTTCTTATAACAACGAAAATTTTACAAAATCCAACAAAAAAAGCTAACAAGGTACATTAGAAGTTACAAGCACTAATTGGACAAGAATTCCAATTAAGGTTTGATAACCCAAAATAGAGTCTTTCTATTGCATTCCCACCCAAAAGCTGCAATCAAGAAAGATATTATTCATTGGTCACCAAGCAAAGTTAAGGGTTTCAACCTTTAAAAGGAGAGGGGAGAGGGTGAATAAAGAAATTAGGCATGTCTTGGACCGTTGGGTAGGGGCAACGCCCATACGCGTTAATCCGATGTGGCAACAAAAACACAACGCTATAACGGCTAGCACACCGCCCCCATGGCGTTATCCGGCGTTATTGTGGCAACGGGACGCAACGGAGTTATTTTCGAATAAAATATCATATTTTAGATTGTTGTTAAACAGTCACAAATAAAAAAAATCTCATTTTAATTCTATTTATATGTACACATATTTTCACATTTCTCTCAACTTCACATTTCTCTCAATTTCCCTTTCTTTTCTTTCTTTCTATTGCACACATAATTTCAATAATTCAAAACAAAAAATATAGATCCTTTTGATTTGTTCCATCCATTCAACTATGATAACGGCGGTGACGATATCTTTGTGAGTATGATGTACCAATATTCTATGGTCCAATCCCCAGGGTTGCCTCATTTGAGTGTTTTGAATTTGTTTTTGGTATTCTTAAAGAGGAGTCAAATTCATGGTGATGCATGGAAGTCTTGGTGCAACTTGGATACAATATTCTTACCATATTTATGGATCGCTGTGAGTATAAAGTCCCCAACTTGATCTATATTTACTTAGATCTAATTATTGTATCATTTTGGTCCCCTTTTGGTCCATTTCTTTGGAGTTCTTAGAGTTTGGAGAACTCCAAAACTTTATGTTTGGATTTTATGACTTATGGAATTGTTTATTGATGGAAAAATGGTTATACATGCTTTTCCCTTTAAGCCACACATGAGTTTTGATCATCTTAAACTCAGGGTTATGGTTTTGAAGAGATTTAGAGATGAGAATGGATAAAGTTAGAAACTTTATCCATTAAGTCACTTAGAAGAGTCAGATATGAGATTTAGGGTTTTGGACATACATGATTAAGTCCATAATAATGAAGGATGTTAAGCCAGAAATCACGGCACGACTAACTTGAGATAATGGTGCGACCTCATGGACTTTCACAACTATTTGTCGCCTATTGATCACGACGCGATCAATAGTTGGTTACAGCGTGATGGTCGTTAACTTTTTGACCAGTTTACAAGGTTGTAAAAAACGCTCGACGTTAGCTAGTCGGTGGACTGGGGTTAAGGGATTAATCGGCTAGGCGGAGATTAATCGGGGGATTAATCGTGGACCATTAATTGCTAATTTGTTGAATTTTAAAAAATTAAATATGACTAATATCATATCAAAGTTCGTAAATACCACTAATATCATAACAAAATAGGTTAGTATGATTAATACAACACTAATTATGCCTCAAATAGTTTCCATTGAGATAAAACTTCTTCAAAATGTTAAAATTTCATCGTTTTATATTGTTTCACTCATTATGTATGTAGGGATTAATCGTTAGACGCCCTCTAATCGGTCGAGTAACGCCTAGGGATTAATCGGAGATTAATTAGGACCTAGTCGGGATTTTTACAAAAGTGGTTTAACTTTTGATCAAACTGAGGGTTTTAAGCCATTAAGCACTTATTGAGTTTTGAAGGATGCGAGAGTACGCCCTGCGTACAAGGTCAACCACCCCGATGGTGGTCAACTGAGAGGGTTTGGAGTACGCTCAACGTACCTCTGGAGTACGCCCCGCGTACTCGTACTGGGTCAGCTAAGATGAGTTGACTCGATTGGGTTAACTCAGTTGACTTTGTGGGTTTGACCAATTGACTTTGAGTTTGACCAAGTTTGACCACATTTGACCTTGAGGGCATTTTGGGATTTTGATGGAATTGGTCAATTGGTGGGAATATGTGTCGTAGAGAGCTGTGATTCGGAGTCGGGACCTTATCAACTTCTGTTCAGTTTGCGAGGTGAGTTTTTCTCATTGTACTTTCGGGTCGAAGGCACCAAGGCCAACCTATTAGATTGTTATCCTGGTTATTGCATGTTGGTATGCTGTAGTGATCTGTTAGATCGGTATCCTGGTATCTAGGATGTATGATATGCTTACTGATCTGTAAGATCTGTTTGATTGTCTGTTGACTAGTTATATACATTATTTGTTATGTATATATCGACATGTTATGTGTGATGAACCAATGAATCGAGTATTGAATTAATCAGAGTATGAATGCAAGTATGAATGCAAGTATGAATGCAAGATTGAACACCAGATGTAAATATGATCTTGTTTCAGCTTGATTTACGCTTTCGAATGTTTACAGAGAAAATAGACAGGTCTGTAAAAACTCTTATCTAACTCTAGTAAATAACCCCTATTTATAGGGAACCGAAAGCGTACAAAAAATATACTAAGGCATTGACTCTAAAGCTTCGAATAAAAGCGCCCTAGTAAAATTCATTACAAAACATTCGAAGAGTACAAAATATACTTCGACTAATTACAACAATTCGACCCTTACAATCTCCCCCTTTGTAATCGTCGAAGTCTTCAATTCGTAAGAAATGTGATGGAATACAGTAACACTCTTCGAATCTCCGTGTACCAGGAGATAATCTTCTTCAGCTCTTTCTTGTCTCCTTCATTGTTCTTCTTGCAATGATTCATACGAACAATCAAGTTCGTATATTGGGATGTTGAATATCTCTCTACTTCACTTGCTTGGAATAAGAACCGTTTAGCTTTTCCAGCTTTGTCTTTTCCTGCGAAGACCATTCCAAAAGGCTTCAGGCAAATTTCACCATCAGCATATTTCTTTAATTCCGCCTGAGTCTTCGTAGGAGCCATCGGTGCTTTTATTTCCATTCCTTTGGCAGTAGCTAATTCCACATCTGTTAGTGCCAAGCACTCATAATAGTTTTCGATAAAATCTTGATGTGAGTAACTCCAAGCTTGAATTCATCTGGTTCAGTGTTTTGAAGGAATGAAAATGATTTGTCTTTTAGAAGTAATGCAACTTGTATAAGATCATACAAGTTCATCAATGGGAAATTAGCAACAGTGAATTCGCAAATATTTCCATTTGCCCTGGCAACCACATACTTAACATTCTGGACTGTGTTTTCGAAAATCACATCCTTTTTCATACTTATGACCTTCTTGATTTTTATTAAAGACTAAACTTCCTCAGGGGCTTTTCCAAGAACAGCATGAAAATGAATTTTCATGTGTGTACCTTCATCCTTATTTTTAAAATTCCCTTCTGCTTTGAACTGAGGCATGATAAACATCATTTCGTTTATGGGAAAACCCAGCTGGCTTGCATCAGTATTCGTGACTAAATAACTCTGCTTTGGTTTCTTCTCGAATGTATACATGTGATTAAAAGCAACCTTGGCCTCAATTGTTTCGTAATTATAGTGTTTAGCTGGATCACCTTTATCCATTCCCTTCGGATCACTAGCACGCTGAGTCATAATGCTTTGAATAATCCTCAGTTTTTCAATTTCAGCTTCTGCTTCAGCCTTCTTTTCCTCTTTCGACTTTTCCACTACAATTGATTTCCCTTTATCTTTCAAGGCTGGATTGACAATTGTCTCTTTTGGATTAGAACCACTCCCACCAGTCTCTGAAGATTTACCAATAACAATTCCTTTTGAAATTGGTCTTGCAATTGGCATTGTTGTTACAACAGTTGAAGTAACCAGTTCAGCAGAAACTATTACTGGTTTTGTTGTTGGGATTTTCGAAGAAAAGACTTTTCCCACAACTTTCGCATCTTCTCCACTAGTCTTCGACTCACTAGTTTTTCTTTCTCCCCCTTGCACCCCTGTGAAAACAGGTGGGGCAATCGTTGTTGGAAGAAGACTTGATATGCGAAAGAGAGGAGCAAGTTGCTTGTTGAGAATGGCTTCGAAATGGATAAATTTCAGTGATAAAAATTCAGGAGTGATCAAAGAAGAAGAAACCGGCCTGTCAGAAATTTCTTTTAACTCCTTGAGCAACTTAAGCACTTCCTCAAAGCTTGCACTTTCGGATGTTGAAATTTGAGTTAGTTGAGGACTCAAACTTTCATACAACTTAACAAAACGTGTGACTGCATCACAAATGATATCAACCTTTTGATTTAATGATGCATAATCTTGTTGAACAGTGACAATTTCTTTTTGCATATCTTCACGAAGTTCGTGAATCTGCAAATTTACATCCTCCCTGACCTTCTTCACTTCTTGCACAAAAAGAACATGCTTTTCCTTTGCGACATTCTTCAAATTTTTCACATCACTGGTAAACATTGAATTTTGAGATTTGATCCGAAGTTCATTATTCTGATCATTATAATCAACCTTCTCCAGAATTCGAGACTCAGAGTCAGTAATCATTCCAGATACTTTGCTAACCACTCTGGCTTCGAGCATTTTCAACAGTGAATCAACCTCCAAACTAGAAACAGATGAACCACCCCTAGATCTGCTTGAGATTGAATTGTTGAATTTAATTTCTGATTCAGGATTTTGAA